AGGAGGGTGAGGTGATTCCTGATAGAAGAGGCAGTTTGGGACATATGCTAACAGAGAAGCACAAGCCCAAGGCAGGGACCAAACCTTGCTAGCGGGGAGGCACTGGACCACAGAGGATGGAAGGGACTTCAGGAGGAACAGGGATGTGGATGGAGTGGGGCTGGGGGAGTGGCCCAAGGCTACCGAGAGGAGGTGAGAGGGGGAAGGAACAAAGGGTGTGGAGGGCAAGACCAAGGAGCTTGAGCTTTCTTCTGTAGTGGGGTTTTCCACAAGACTTAAGTCAGGGGTGACAGAGTCATGATTCAGAAAGGTCATACGGAGGGCATGTGAGGCAGGCAGGAAGCTGGTGCAGCAGTCAGGGATGGAGTCACACATCACAGATGAAGCTAGGTGGGCCTGGGTAACTTCTTGGAGGCACAGAGGGTGGGTGGGAGGTGAGAGGAGATGGGAGGGTGGCCCTGAGGTTTGGAGCCCAGGTAACTAAAGTGCAGGGGTGCCACTCGGCTTTGAAGACAATGGTGGGCTCACCGGGTGCAGGAGACAGCAGGCCCTCCAGGTGGACACATGTCGCAGGCAGGTGGGGATGCAGGTCTGGTGTGAGGAGTACTGAGCCAGAGCCATCTGCGCAGCGGGAGCAGGAAAAGATGGGGTGCAGCATGTGCTGCTCACCTGGCAGAAAGCGTGGGCTGCAGTCCGCATGCAAGGACACGGGGCCACCTGAAGGAAGGCCCTGGCCTCCCAGAGCCTCTGTATTCTAGGAGAGCTGGATCCCGGGCTCAGGCTGGGCTGAAGCTCTGCTAGTCGGAGGTCAAGGAGCTCCAGATGAATCTGGAAGGATGAAAAGGCTTTAATGGCAAAACAGTGACATTCCGTATTCCAGCGGACAGGATTCCCAGGGGACAACATCTGTGCCAAAGCGAGTGTGCAAGAAAATATGTGTGCCCCAAAGTGGATGTGCACATGAGTGCAAAACGGATGCAGAGATGAGAATGTGGGTGTGTGCATGTGCACGTGTGCATGCTTGCCTGCACATGTGCTCAAAGGCAAGTGTGAGGCCACGTGACAAGCAGGCTGAAGGAGGCCATCCCTGTCTGGCACCTTCACATCTGCTGCCTCCATTTTCTCTCCCTTCTATCCTCAGTCCCCAGAGGAGGAGAAGGCCTGGTTCTAATCCTTGAGTTCAGGGTCAGCAGCTTCCTATCTTCTCTTCCCTCAGCTCCCTTGAGGATTTTCCTCTCAGACATCCCAGATACCAGTGTACAGGGCTGCTGGGCTGTTGCCCCCACCTCATTCCTTCTACACATGAGACTTGGCTGTCAGCAAGAGATGCCACCTGCCTGCCTAGATGGGACTGCTGGTCCAAGTAGAAGGTGAGGCCCAGGATTGACAGAAGATGCCTCTGGAGTCCTGTTGCTGAGCCTGGGCCAGGGCCTTCAGAGCACGTCGGGCTCTGCTGACCAGGACTCTGTCCTGTCAGCTTAGGGAGCCCTGAGACAGCAGGGTCTTCTGGCTTTGGAGAGACAGAGGCCACTAATCGGGCCCGCACCAAAGCCAGCTTGCCTGAGTCTGGCTGCCCATCTCTTCCCTACCAGGGCATGACACCTGCCCCCACGATTACATACACTGGATTGTAGGACTGAATCATGAATGATTTTAGGGGCAGGAGGGGACCACTGGGTATCCATCTGGAGGCTTGGAAATGCTACTACTCCCTCCGTGTGGCCCTCAGTTCTCCTTTCTACTGGATGGTGCAACTGTGCCTGACTTTCTGATTGCTGCTAGCCAGGGTGCTCTTCACCCGAAGAGGTATGCTAGCACCACGTTCTGGAGGTACCTCAGAAGGCCCCAACATCAGGAAGAAGGTCCCCTGTGAACCTCTTTGCAGTCCCCTCTTCTGTTTCCGGGTCAGGGGCTGCCTTGCTGTGGTGGGCCACCTCCCCACTGTGTGCCTGAATCTTGCCTCTGCTCCTTATTAGCTTTGTGGCCTTGGGAAAACACGTCGCTTCGAGCCTTGATGTCATGATGTGTATAATGCCGATCGTAGCGGCCATGATGCTGGTGTGATGATTAGGTGAAGTAATTCACGGAAAGCACAGCCAGTGCTCCTACATGTGCAGTGTTTTGGGGTCTTTGTGAATAAAGGCTTTGCAGCTACCCAGGAAGCCCCAGTGAAAAAGTCCAGGGACACTGGGAATCCCTTCAGATGCTCTGGCCCCCAGGATTGGGGATGAATGGGGTCCAGAGAGCTGAGGATGCCAGTGGGAAAGGCTCCTGCCAACTTTTCCTGGCTAGAGCTGCGAACCGGGCTGGCCGCCACGTCGGGCGCTGTCCGTGGTGCTGGACACAAATTTTGGCTCTGGCTTAGCCCAGCTTTCAGAGATCTGTGCAACCATCCGGCAGAGTCCAGGAGGGTGGTCCACAAGGCAAAGGGCAGCTCCCAAAGCCCGAATCTCACCCCATCCAGAGGCACTCTCCTGGCCTCACCTTTCTCACCCACCTTTCTAGATACTTTGGCCATATGAGATGATTTTACCAAATCATCTTGACTGAATTGTTCTAGCCAGGCCTTATCCTCTAATGGGACTGTGAATTTCCTGAGTTCAGGGCATCTGGATGCTGAGGCCCGTAGGTTCTGTTGTCTGCTTAGTCAGGTACTCTGGCCCCTGCTTTCTGCCACTGCCTCTCTTGGTTCATCATAGGTTCCTGTCCAGTCCTACTCCTAGTAGAAGCTTTGCTTTGGTTCTTCCCTGGAAGGTTTAAGCTACCTCTCTCACCTCTTTCATGCAAATCTGCTGGTTTGAGTGATTTATTATTTCACAATATAGGGCATAGAGGGGAACATATACAGGTACCAGTTCATTTCACTCTTATGACAACTATGCTAGTTGGGTACTGTGGTTATGTCCACCAAGCCAAAGAACTGAAAGAGCTTGAGTGTCTTGGAGTAAATGATAGAGCCAGAAAGGAACCCAGGTTGGCTGGCCCCAGAGCCTGTGCTAATTCCCAGTAGATCATGCTTGCCCCCAAATAGCTCTGTGCTGGTCCAGGATGGTGTTTGTGGGGAAAATGCTCTAATATTCCAGCCCCAGCCAGGACTAGGCACCAGATATATCTTGGGCATCTGGAAACTCAAGATTGAGACAATTAGTCAGAATGCAGGGAAATGGGTGTTTTTGCCTCATGTAATTTGGTTTTATGAAGACCACTAAATGCAAACATTCTCCTGTTAATTACCATCTTGAATTTGGTCTGTAATTGAGGGAACTAGATCTGGTGGGGGGGGTAGAAACTCGCTGAAGTGGCAGGCCCGCCTGAGTCAGCATTCCCAGCCGCCTTGCACCCGATCTGTTAATTTTAGAAACTCTGCTAGCCTGAGTGTATTATTAGCTGTATGTACGGAGGGCCACATGGCCCTCCATGGCTTCTCTATGCCATAGTTTTTTGTTTTGTTTTCTTTTTCCTAAGAGAATAAATGAAAAGGAATATGGTGGTGTGTACACAGGGGTGTTTGCACACTGTGTGAATGGGGGTACCTGTGTATGGCTTTTAATGAGTGTACGCCGCTGTCTTTGAATGACATATGTGCAGTTTGATGGAGAGTGTACACAGCTCAAGATCACCCACCAAAGCTTAACCCACTCTCCAGGCTCATGAGCAGATGTGCTGCGTTCTCTGTAGGAGGGTGTGATGGCTAGGTGCGTCCCCAGGCTTTAGCTGGGTTCTCCCAGCAGGCTATGGATGTTGGGGCTGGAGAAAGGGTGAGTGGGATGTGGGGCAGGGAAGGGGCTGAGATTGACCTCTAGGCACCAGTCTTAGATGGAGAAGCCTTAGCACCTAGGGAGCCCTGTCTCAAGGCCCTGAAGGGCTTGACTTTCAAAGGAGCTGCTAGAAGCCACCCTCCCTGAGCAGGGTGATGGGGAATAGCTGTCCCGCCCACCTTCAGCAAAGCAAGCCCTTGACTCACAGCACCATTAGGAGCCTGGCAAAGAAAACAATTTGTTATGAGGTACTTTCTCCGTCAACCCAGAACTCCTCAGGCAGGGGCATTTCAGTCTGGGGGGGGGGGCCCTCTGAAGACCTGAGGAGAGCTTATCTAGCTCCCATTTCCTTCCTCCTAGCTTCTCTGCAGTAGAGAATTAAAGATGGCTGAAAGGTTATTTATCCGGAAGAAGACATGCTTCTTTCTGCCTGACTTAATACCTTTATCTGTCACTGTGTAACTGTCTTAATTAATAGCAGAGGGAAACAGCTCTGCAGTGCAAGGTTTTGGTCCTGGGGCCAGGCCTGGGGTGACTGGTACTTGGGCAGCCCCTGCCAGTGGTTGGTCAGACATTCTAGACATGAGCAGAGGTCTTGTCTGTGCCTTCTTGTGCGTCTTCTTCTGGGAAAGGGGGATCCCAGAAGGCCAGAGTGGGAGAGAGCTAGGTCAGAGTTAGAGGACACATTGCACAGTGGGGAGACTGAGGCCCAGAGTGGGGAAGACACCTGCTTGATGTCACATAGCATTAGAGCTGGGGGCAAGGCTCTGCCTTCCAGGCACCTGCTGTGTGTCTGGACTTCCCCTGCTCTCTGTCATGGTCTGTGTCCTGTCTCCAGCCACAGCTAATCCCTCAGGGAGGATGGGGCAGCCTGGCCTGAGCTTGGAGTGGGTGAGGTGAGCTGCTGCTGTCACCAAAGAGCCTCTTGCTTGTCTCTGGGTGTCACTGCGTGGCTTGCATGTCAGTCTGACCGTCCCTGGGGGTGGGGATGGGTGGAAGAGGCTTGTCACATGGAGAGCTCACAAAAGGGCAGGGAAGACGGCGTCCTTAGTGAGTGAAGAGCCTCTTTCTGTGTCATCCCTGTGTCTGCAACCTCCACCTCCTGGTACCCATGCGCTACCTCGTGAGTGTCTTGGAGTCTCCCAAGATGTTCCCCTCTCCCACGCGCTGTCCTCAGAGCTCCCTCGCTTAATCTGTAACTTGCCCTCTCTCTCTTGGTGACTGACCCCTGTCTCCGGGCAGATTTTACTGGGACCTGACCATGCTGCTGTTGATGGTGGGAAACCTGATCATCATCCCTGTGGGCATCACCTTCTTCAAGGATGAGAACACCACACCCTGGATCGTCTTCAATGTGGTGTCAGACACGTTCTTCCTCATCGACTTAGTCCTCAACTTCCGCACGGGCATCGTGGTTGAAGACAACACAGAGATCATCCTCGACCCGCAGCGGATTAAAATGAAGTATCTGAAAAGCTGGTTTGTGGTGGACTTCATCTCCTCCATCCCCGTGGACTACATCTTCCTCATTGTGGAGACACGCATCGACTCTGAGGTCTACAAGACCGCCCGGGCCCTGCGCATCGTCCGCTTCACCAAGATCCTCAGCCTCCTGCGCCTCCTGCGTCTCTCTCGCCTCATTCGATATATTCACCAGTGGGAAGAGGTGAGTGGGCCGACCAAAGCTCGCTGGTAATCCCAGACAGTTGGACATGGGCTGTCAGATTGCGGCAGGCGTGCCTGCTCCAGGGGAACACATGTAGTCATTTCTTGGCCTCTTATCACGTGTTAGATACTACACAGAGCACTTTACACATAGATTCCCATTAAATTCCTTGTCAACTGACCACAGAGGGTGCCACAGAGCTACCTGTAGACCCTCGAGTTGATTTCCACAAAGTTGTGTACTTGGTAATTGGCGAGCCTGAGAATGCAGAGCTGAGCGTCCCCAGAGCCGGCCCCAGCGACTACTGCACTGGACTGTAAGGGCTGTACGCTCATGAGCCCTTGGACCTAGTGGGGAAGGTGAAGAGGTGAATAGGACCAGTTTGAGGACAGCGGGGAGAGTGGCGGCCTGGGAAGAACTGGGGAATACGTCTCCCAGCTGTCTGGGCAGCCCCTGCTCAGAGTGAGCTATTGTTGCCATGAGAATTAGATCTACAGATATATCATGAAAGCAGAAATCGAAAGTTCTGTACAAATGTTTTGGTAACTGTCTTAGACGGTGGTCTTCTGAGACAGACCCTGAGAAGTGAAAGTGATTTGGGGGAAACTTTTCTGGGAAAGTCTGGTAAGCGCGTAGGGAAGAGGGACAGAAAAAGGTAGGAAGCCGAGTGAGAAAAGGGGGAGACATTAAGCAAAGTCCCACACAGAAGACTTGGGTCCAGCGCCACGGGCAGCTCTGGGGACGGTGTGCCCCACACCTCCAGGTCGTTCCAGGCAGGGTAATGAATTGGGACGTTTCTGTCCCCTTCCCTGTCAGTCAGTGTCCAAGGCACTCCCAAGCCTTGGTGCTAAAGGCCAAAGCAGCTTCCAACAACCCAGGAAGGGCCTCTGAGCCAGACACGGGAGCTGGGGAGAGGAGGAAGAGCACCAGGGAGCCTGCAGCCATGTGCACAAAAACCATAAGGCAATCCTGGGGTTGTAGGCACCGGGTACAGAAACTAAGTAAAAAACAGCAGATGAACTGGGTGGTCCAGCGCTATTCTGAACCACCCTAACTCATCTAAGGGCGGAAGCAGTCGTCTGTCTGCAGGAAGAAAAGAGGACTGGGGCTGTGCTAGGAAAAAGTATGGGTGACCTTGCCGGGTGCTTAGCTCTGCTGCTACCGAGTTCAGCAGCGTGGGGTGGACAGGGGTGGGGAGAGATGTGCTTGGTGAGACACTCACCTTGGCATGTGAGCTGGGCCGTGCAGCTCACTGCTGGCCTCCAGGCCTTCAGGATCCCTGTAGGATTGGATGGAAGGTCTCATGACCAGGATACAAAGCGCCCCTCCCCACCCCCGCAGCAGCCTGGGTGCTGCCTGCCGGCGATGGCTGATGGTTGGGGCATCGGCAGATTCAGGTCAGAGGCATTGTGAACACACGCGCCTCGGGAGAAGTACCTACGCCAGCGTGGCAGAACCGCTCCGTGGCAGAAATTCTCTTTGGCTTGGAAATGTTGCATTATTCCTGCTGACAAAGAGATGCAGTGACTTGCCCAAGGTCACAGGGTAGATCTCTAGCAGACCTGGCACAGAGCCCTGTGAGCTCTCTTGGCTCCAAGGAGGCGGGCAGACCCCACCTGGTATACCAGAATATGCATGCGCTTTAGAAATAGGAGGACATGTCTAAGACCCAAGTTAAAATCTCAGCTCCATGAGGCAGGAGGATCTCTGCAAGTTCGAGGCCAGCCTGAGCTACAAAGTGAGTTCAAGGCCAGCCTGAACTGCATAGTGAGACCCTGTCTTCAAAAAGACAAAAAAAAAAAAAAAAAATCTCAGCTCCACACTGCCTAGCTATGTGACCTTGGTGCCACCTAGCCCCTCTGAGCCTCATTCTCTTTATGTGCAAAGTGGGTACAGGTAGTACCTGCTGTTCATAGAGGCTTTTGCATGCATCCTGGTATAGAAAAGCTGTTTAATAGATCTCTTCCCACTCAGTTGTCCTAGTAATACTTCATTGGCTCTTCACACCTAACTGGCAACCATGCAGGGGGATTTGCTACCTCCAGATGCCGGATGGGGGAACTGAAGATCAGAGAGGTCAAATCTCCAGGAGCAGCACTTTTGACCAAGGCCTCCTGTGTCCTGGTTCCATGACTGATTCAATTAGCACCCCCTGATGGCTGTGGTGCAGCACCCGTGGGCGGCAGGACCCTGTTTGATCCAGAAGGCCTGTGGCTCTGCCCTGGGTGGGGTGACGCCCAGCTGAGACTGGGAAGCCAGGCAGTGGGATGGGGTGGTGGAGCTCTGTGTGACACGCTGGGTTTGTGGACCTGTGGAACATCTAGGCGCAGAGAGATGCTGCCTGCGGGTCCCAGCTCAGCGCTCAGAAGGGGCAGAATCTATGTGGGCGGTGGCTGGGAGGGAAGGGCAGGGGCATATTTCCAGAATGCCCTGACAGGCCTGTCTCCTGGTTTCTGTCCCCAGTAGAAATGCAGGTGGCTTCCTCGGTCCCATGTAGCTTTTTTTTTATCTTGGGACTGCAGGTGGACTACCCTCAGTAGTAGAGATGTGGCTGTTCTTTCCTGTCTGGCATCAGCTGGGGTCTGCAGGTCTCAGCACTCCTGGGGGCTGACCTTGCTTCTGCCTAAGCCCTGCGTCCTGGGGGACGTAGTAGTTGACAGAGTTGCCAGTGGCTGGGCAGGGTGAGCCCTGGGACAAAACTAACCTTGTTGTTGTTGTTGTCCCTGCACCACGTGTCCTGGGAGCTCAGGCCAGGGCTATGGCCCCATGGGCCCTCTGGCCTGGTTACCCTCTGGGCTTCCCAGAGCTGGCCAGGCAGGCTCCAATTCTGGCCTTTTTCAAGGGGAGGCAGAGCCCCCCGTGGGCCTCAGGTCAGGCCATGTCTCTGAACTGGGCATTGCTACCCAATCTCGTGGGCAGGAAGGGAGATCCCAGGAGGCCAGATGGATGGCTCCCCCGCCTCCACGTACACCCTTATCTCTCCTACCAGCTGGGGAGGAAATTGCTTTGAGCTGCTTTCTGCCGGGCATACAGCCCAGCAAAGCACTCCCCCTGGGCCCTGGGATTGGATTGGGGTTTCCCAGCTGGCCCCTGAAGCCCGGTCTGCAGGCCCTGTAGAGCCTCCTGCAGCTGTGGGTTTCTCCCAGCCTCAGCTGGGCCTGGAGGGAGCAGCAGGGCCTTTCAGGCAGTGAGACTTGGGGAGGGACATACTGAGTAGTAGAAACCCTGCTTGTCTCCTCTTCAGTGACTTGTGTGAGTGTCTAGGGACGTGCTGATGTCCCCTGAGGCTGTGGCTCTGAGGCTCAGTTCCCAGCTTGTCTCTTCAGGAACATGGTCTTGGCTCACCCTGACAGGGCCTAAAGGAGGAAGCCCAGGGTGGGGCTTGGGGGGGGGGTCTCCCTCCCACAGCGGGGGAAGCTGGTCCAAGGTGCCTGGTGAAGCCACAGCTTGCTGAAGCCCCTGACCGCTGGTCAGCCATCTCCCCATGAGATGCCCTAGGCACTGGTGACAGGGTGGGAGGAGTGGGCCAGGATGGGTGCAGACCGCCTTCAGAAGGGCATGGCCTCTGCCTCTGTCCGGTGCCATCTAGGGCAGCAGCCTCCCTCCTGAGCCTCTCCCAGCCAGCCTCTCCCCTCTGGCAGAGGTGTGAGCTTGTTACAGACATGCAGGCTATTGTTAGAAACCCTGGCCCACCCCCTTCGATGCTCCCCGGCTGGGCCCAGCACGCAGCGGCCCCATCCCGGAGGCCTCGCCTCTCCCTCAGCAGTGGCAGTGGGAATGGCAGGAGGGCAGCGAGAGGAAGGAGGCCAGGCAGGAGGCCTCCCACTGGGCCTCAGGTTCTCCATCTCCGACCTGCGAGGTGGCATCTATGAGAGGCAGCGGTGATGGAGGGGACCCAGCGCTCCAGGCTGTGCGGCGTTCTCAGGCCTCGGGTTGCTGTCCTCCATGTGGACCATCGTTCCTGAGACACAGGTGGATATTTGTCCTTTTCCTTGAGGAAAATGAGTCCCTAGAAGGAAACTCAAGCAGGTCCTGAGAAGAGGCCTTCACGGAAACGCCTTGTCAGCCTGGCCGCCAATTTCTGGTGTCTTTTCATCATGGAGAAACCAGCTGTGTTCAGAGTGCCGGGAAAGAGAGGGCAGGAGAGGAACAGTATGTGCAGACTTCGTATGGGATCCCCCTGTGGACATTGTTTCATCTGGTCCCCAAGGCAGACCTGGGAGCTTGGAATTGCTGACCCATCCCACAGATAGAGAAACTGAGGCTCTGAGAGAAAAGGCGGAAGCTGTGCTGCCCTCTAGAGCACCAGGCCGGGGACAGGGAGCTGCCCAAGCTGCTTGTCTGGTGAGCAATGCAGGTGCTCAACCCCCACCGTCAGAACCAACATCATACAAGGGGGGTTTAATGAAATATAAAGAATGAAGCAAATATTTGCCCAGGGCAGCTGCCTGGCAGGTGGCCCGGGGCCCCAGCGCGCGGCAGATGCACGAGTACTGAGCTGCTTCTCGGAGCAACATCAGCAAATCATATCAGGGCTGCTGCTGCTGGGGTGAGCATCCTTACAAGGTAGGGCCTCGTCCTGGCCTGAGTGGATTCAGCTCTGCCCCGTCCAGCTCTGCTCTGGAAGCTCAGACTTGGCCGTGCTGGGACCTCGGCTTTGCAACCATCTGCACACCGCTCCCCACGACCCTGGGCCCGCATGCCTCACCACTCAGCCCCAGGCGCTGCCACCCAAGCTCTCTGCAGGAGGCCTGAGTCTGCCCGCCTGGAGGAAACGGTGGTGCTGTTCTCACAGGGGCAAAGGCGGACCCCTGTGGGCTGCATCTGTGCAGAGTACCTGGCCCTTTTTACCTGCACCGTATGTACTAGCGGGAGCCCTGCTCAGCTACAAGCCCATCACCGTCATTGTCACCTGCACCTTCATCGTTAAGCGCTTTTCAGTTCCTGAGACCCTACCACACGCTCTGTGCCATATCCGTGGCTGAGATCACAATAAAGGCAAAATTAGAAAAAGACCTGAACTTGGGGGAAACAATGAGTTATGAAGAGGAGAAAAACACAAGTGATGCAAAAAGAAAAGAAGTCATTGCACTAAAATAGTCCAACCTCGATGCTTCTGTCGTTAAGACCAAGTGATTCATAAAGAGGAGCAGTGACAGTGGGCTGTGACAGCCTGGGACACTTTCTAGGCATGGCTCGAGGCTTTCTCTAGCTCCTCTGTGGCTTCCATTCATTCATTTCCCGCCTCATGCATGTATTGAGGCAATCCGCATGTTCCGGTGGCTACCTGTGTCAAGCGTGGAGGCACACGAAGCAAAAGGTACAGAAGAGACCCATGCCTTGTGGAGCAGTATTCCTTTAGAGGGAGAATCCCACTGTAATGTGGAGGAAATCCATGAGGGGGAAGCGTCCTAGTGAGGTGGGAGGGTAAGGCTGATGCTGCTTCACACTGGTGCAGGAAGGCCTGACCGAGGGAGAGGTCAGGAGGAGCTGGAGGAGGGACACGGGCCTGACAAACCTGAAGCCCCAAGGCAAGCAAGGACCTGAGAGAAGCCAGTGTAGCGGGCGGTGGTGGGCCCTGGGCACAGTTTGGGAAATGGGGTGAGCAAGAAGTCGGGAACCAGGGCACTGAGGCCCCAGCGGGCAGATGGAGTTCCCTCCCAGGGGCAGTGGTGATAAGGTGGAAGAGATCTCTCTAACAGCTCGCTTGAGAACAGACTGGAGGGGCAGGGAGCCTTATCAGGAGGCTGGGGCAGTTGTCGGGGGTGTTTATAATAGGGTCACACTGGACTCGGGCTGGGGATGTCTCCATTACAAGGGGGCCCAAAGGACCCAGACCGGTGAGACTGGCTGTGGTGGAGCGGGGAAGAATGGGAGGAATCCAGGCTGGCAGGTTTGAATGGCAGTGCTGTCGTGAGGTGGGGAGGAATAGGCTTTGGACGGGTCCCGGAGGAGATGGCCAGGGAGAAAGCTAGATGTGAGACAGACAGGGAGAAAGCCGGATGTCTGAACCCGTCTGTCACTCCTGTCTCCCCGTGTGTGTTGGGCATAACAGAAACAAGGAACTGGGGCATCTCAGGGACTAAAGGGAGAGGAAAAAGCAGGCTGTCCTCGGTCAGGGGAGGAGGAGTGTTGCTGATGATCTTTGGGGTCCTGTGGAATAGAGGCAACACAGCCACGTCCCGGGAGCTCCCTAGCGGTGAGACTCCCCTCACGGTACTTACAGCGCTCTCCCAGGCCAGTAGCACCCACTGCCAAGGACATCCTCAGCAGACTTCCTACCACATCAAGGGTGGGAGGGGGGAGGTGTGTGTGTGGCCTCCAGGTCTGTGGGCAGCTGGGCCTCGCAGCCCACAACAACATCTGGACAGGGAGCTGGGAGCCCGGCCAGTTCTCTGCCCATCTCCCCATGGCTCCCTGCTCTGTTGCTGGGTTCCTGGCTCTTGTTCGTTTCCTGGGTCTGACTGATTCCCCAGCCAGACTGTGAGCTCCAGGAAAGCAGGGGCAAACTTTCCTCCCTGGTTCCCACATCAAGGGGCCTTTCTTGGGCACTGACCCAGGCTGGCCTCCTGGGGCCATAGAACAGAAATTAGGGTATCTACCCAGGGCAGAAGGGCCCACTGGGAGCGCACTCTAGCACGATATCCTCCCACAGTGAGGAGTCTGGGGCTCTCTGCAACTCTTTCCAGACCTCCCGGGGCAATCTGGGACACGGCATTCCTGACTGCGATGGCTCCAGGCCCCTTCCCAGGTCTGGGCCCTGAAGGGAGCCCCTGCTTTTGAGTACACCCCTTGATCCTCACTGCAGCCTTGTGCAGGGGTGGCATGGACAGAGACTGGCTGTGGGCCGAGGTCCCTCACTGTGAGACAGTCAAGGAAGAGAAGAAAGGTGAGCCATGTTCTGGTGGTTTTCTAAAAGTTGCAAGCCTGGCCCTCCAGGGCGTTATCATGGTGTATTGGTGGGGGGCATAGCACATATTTTCTTTAATAGTGTGTCAGCCTGATTTTTAACTTTAAACACGCAAACCTGTGGTTGGTGGCTCTCTGTCTGTCCCCTTGTCCTAGATGCTCCACCGCGAGGGGCAGGCCAGGAGAGGTATATTTGCCTAGGAGTAGAATAGAAGGATCAAAATGTAGGGCTGGTGGCTGGAGGTGCCCCTCAAGTCTCCAAGACCAGATGCAATGCCAGAACTTCAAAGACCTCCCTCCAGACTTCCCTGTACCCTCCGTTTCCTCACTGCCCTATCCTGCAGGTAGGGCAAAGATGCTGGGCCCTGCCGCACCACAGCCTTCCGCACGGGCGCCCTGGGGTGCAGATGTGCAGCTGTCAGTGGGCTGGGGTCGAGGGTGCTGCTGTACTTTACCCCAGGATAAAGGAGAACCCTGCCAACTGGTACTTATTAACGAATCATAAAGATTAATTATTAATAATAACTTATCTGTTCATAATAGCTCATAATTTATTGAATGCTTCTGTACTCAGCATTAAGTATTTTAAATGTATAATTTAATTCTTTTGACAACCCACTCAGTTAATTTTGATCACCATTTTCCAGAGGAGAAAACCTGATCAGGGAGGTTTGAGGGCTTCCTCAAGGTCAGGCAGCTGGGGGGTGGGTGGGAGCCAGGCCTGGGTAACGTGGAGCCTGCGGGCCTGTGCTACCCTTGTGCAGTCTCTCAGCGCCCACTGCCCCAGGCCTGGGTTCCAAAAATTGAGGGACATGTTTAGGGATGCGTTGAGCCTTGGACCCAATTCCAGGCCACGGTTCCCTAGGCACCTCAGGGTACCCTCATGCCCCAGGCTACCCGGGGCTTCAGGTGCCTTCCTCCCGTGCATCCTGGATAGCTGCCTCTCCCGTGGGAGGCCGCATCTGCACAGGTGTCAGGAACATCACCCTGGGCCCTCCAGCCTGCACTCTGCCTTTTCCAGGCCCTGGCCTGGTGCTCCCCCTCCCCAGCCCTGGCCTGGACCTGCACTGTGCTGCCCGTGGGTGGTGCCACGGCTGCTGTGGGGTCTGATGGGAGGGGTCTTCTGTGCCTCCTGGCCACCCGCTGTTTGTGCCAATGTCTCCACCTCTACTGGCAGATCTTCCACATGACCTACGACCTGGCCAGCGCCGTGGTGCGCATTGTGAACCTCATCGGCATGATGCTCCTGCTCTGCCACTGGGATGGCTGCCTGCAGTTCCTGGTGCCCATGCTGCAGGACTTCCCCAGTGACTGCTGGGTGTCCCTCAATGACATGGTGGTGAGTGTGCCCAGCTGGCCCTCCATCGGGGTTGGAGCCACTTCTCTGAAGGCACAAATGGGTAGAGAGGATCAGGAAGTCAGAACCCCCAAGTCCCAGTATGTAGGACCTGGAGGCCCCCGCCAGGTGCAAAGGGCACATGGCTCTACCACAGCAGGCCAGAAATCCACTCAGAGCACTCTTGGCTGTGAGCTCTCCCACTTTCTTACCTCCGCTGCAACCATGAGCCTTGATACTGGGTCTGACTTCACCCAAGGACACTGACTTGGGGGACTCCGGGTGTGTCAGCATGGCAGAGCTGGCCTGATGGTCCCGCCCTCCTACCAGGCCCTTAGAAGCTGAGCCTGAGAAAGCAGAAGGCTGCCAGAGCAGTTTGCTGCCCATGCAGACTGCCAGATTGTACACAGCCACTAGTGCTCTAGGGACACAGCTGGGCTGTCCCCGCTCTCCAAACACACATCCTGGTCACCAGTAGAGTCCTGAGCAAGAAGGACTGGCAGGATGGAGCCCGACTCTGCGGGTGGGTGAGGAAATTGGACTCAGGACCCCAAGGCAGAGCCCCGTTCCTGCTGTGAACAGGAGGGGCTTCGGTAGGGTGGAGGAACCCTGTCCCTGTGTGCCTTTTCTCTGGCTCTGGCTCTGCCTCTGGGGAACCCCCTAGACTCCTTCCTAATCTATTTGGTTTGGTCTGAGGCAAATACCCAGAGCCCCAGGGGACGAACAGCTGGTTTTGAAAGAGGTGAAAGAGACCCTGAGGCGATTTCAGCATCAAACAGGCCTTTACAAAACAGCCTTTTGATGAGCTAAGTGTAAATGAACCGCCATACAGATTGAATTCCTGGTCCCTAGAGCTGGGCAGTGAGGCGGAAGCCCTGAGTGAAGGTAGCTGGGGGCTGCCCCACTCCCCTGGGTAACGTCCCTACCCACTCTGATGTAGTCTGGACCGAGCCACCAGCCCCAAAGAACTAGCTCCACTCCAGTCCAGGATGATGACCTTGAACGTGGCATGCAGCTGTGTGGGCCCCTTTGCCATCCTTCCTGCGAGTGCTGGGGACAATCTGGCACCCACAGAAGTGCTTAGGGCCCAGGGCAGGGGCTCTGCAGCTTGTGCCCAGGGTGGGTTTCTGCACAGTTGCTACCCTGTGAGCAGGGACACCAAGGAGGTAGCGCTGTGGGGCTCCCTCACCTGGCGCAATTTCCACTGTGTGTAGTGACCGCCCTGCACATGCACTAAGTTCAGGAGATGGCCCTTCTGAGCTCAGTGTTCCCACACCAGGCCTTCCTGAGACAACTGGCTTTGGAGACACAAACAGCCAAGAGCCTCCCTGACTTCCTGTCTCCTGCCTCATGCTCTAAACCAGAGATCACCTTTGGGGGCAGTGGGAGGAGAACAGCCCTGACACATGTGGGCAGATGTGGGCGGCTTTCTGTGGGAGCCTGGTTCGCTCAGTTTTAACTTCTGCTCACCCAAAAGGAGGCCAGTGTCTGCAGCTTGGTCTGCAGAACCGTCCCCTGGGGAAGTGTAGATGGTTGTACAATTGAGGTCAGTGGGGAAATGGGCTTCACTTGGCAGCTGTTTGGGGGTGGGGGGTGGAGCTGTCTCAGCAGGTGAGGGACAGCAGGGTGGCTCACCCTGGCGCCTTTTGCTATTCAGCCAGGAGACTCCAGGCTGCCTGGTGGGGCTAAGGAGTCAGAATGGGGCTAGGCTGGCTCCTGGCTCGCTGCTAGATCTGGTCTCAGGCTGGCCCCCCCACTGCAAGAGGAAGGCCTAAGGGAGAAATACCTATCATGGCAGATTGCCAGAATGGGCTTCCCTGTCCCCACCCAAGGCCTTCACCCAGCGGCAAGCCTAGGAGCCACTGGGGAGGTTAGGAATCTTCCAGTGCCAGAGGCCTCTGCACATTCACCTGCTCCCTTCTGTCCACCCATGCACCTGTCCACAGAACAACTCCTGGGGGAAGCAGTACTCCTACGCCCTCTTCAAGGCCATGAGCCACATGCTGTGCATTGGGTATGGGAAGCAGGCGCCCGTGGGCATGTCTGACGTCTGGCTCACCATGCTCAGCATGATCGTGGGTGCCACCTGCTACGCCATGTTCATCGGCCACGCCACCGCCCTCATCCAGTCCCTGGACTCCTCCCGGCGCCAGTACCAGGAGAAGGTAGGTTAGAGAGCCAGTCGGCCCAAGGCTCTCTCAGGAGGACCTGCCCATTGGTCCTTTGCAAGACAGAGCCAGGGCCAGGCCCCCTGGTGTCCAGCCCTATGATGGGGACTCCTGGTGTGTGGGAAGCGGGGGACACCTCCTAGATGAAAATGACATCATCTCCGTAGCTTCAACCTATAAATGTCTTTTCATCTGTACCCACATTCCCTCCCTCCTGCGTGACTGGGACCTGTCTCTCTGGAGCAAAGGAGTGATGCTCTCAGGGTGGACAACCAGTAGCTCCTTACATTGAGGACCTCGTCCTGCCCTGCCCTGCCTCTTGGCATTTTATGGGTTCCCACTGCTCCCAGGCCTCTCGCTGGGCTCCCATGACCGGACAGTTTTCCTCCCATCTCTCTGGCGAGGCCTCGCTCTCCTTTGCTGGTTTCTTTTCTCGGTCACCATGTGGTGGCTGGGCCCTCAGCTTTCTGATCCCACCTAGACGTCCTAGGTGTTATTGTTCTCCACCCCCGCCCCCGCATGCTTTGCGTCCATCCCCAGCAGCGGGGCCCACTTATATAACCAGCCCCACCCCGTTCTCAGCTCCAGAGCTCATTGGATGTCTCCCTGGACACCAAGCTCATCTTGTCCAAAACCAGAACACTCCCCGCCCCCGCACTCCTGCCCATCTTGCTAGTGGACAGCAGGAGCCATGTTCGCCGTCTCTGACACGAGCGCTCATCTCAAAGCAGCGTCCCCCTTCTCTCCATCCCAGCTGGCCTCTGGCCATCCTTGTCACCAGCTTTTCCCTCCCCCTGGATTTCTGCAGCACCTTGCTCACCACGGTGACCGGGAGCTGAGGCCTGGAGTTGGGCTGCCTTGGGTCTCCCTGGCATCTTCTGCGGCGAGCTGTGTGAGCCTGGCATGCTGCTGCTCGGCCCCGTGCCCCGTCCTCATCTGTACAATGGGACGATTTGAGGCGTCCTGTCCTAGGGCCCCTGAGGAGATGCACAACCCCTACATTGTGTTCGCAGAGGAAGACGTTGGCTAAGCAGGCTCCTCTCGGTGCTTCCATCCACTCTTCACGAAGCAGGGAGAGGAGCATTTAAGACGGATAAATTGGACTGAATTGTCCCTCTGTATAAGACTCGAGGAATTGCACATTGCTCCTAAGATCTGCGCTAGGCGCGTCTCCTTACCCGGCGTTTGAGGGCCCCAGTCCAGCCCCTGCCCTTCTTACGTTCAGATCCTGGCCAGGCCCTCTCCTGCCCCAGGTCTCCACCTGGGCTCTGCCTGGAACTCCCCTCTTCTGTTGCTCCTGACAGCTTCACATCTCAGCCTCAGCCTTGCTGCCTGCAACCCCCTCCCCCACCCACCCATCACGTGACCCCATAGCACACTCCATTTCTCCACCACAGCACTCTGCCCTCCTGTAATTAATTAATCATGCATAGCTGTGTGTTTAATATCCATCTCCCCTATGCAGGCCAGGGCTCCCTGAGGGCGGCATCTGGCACATAGTAGGGCTCAGGATTTATTGACTCACAGGCTGCCCATTTGCCTGGGCTGCTGTCCCCCCTGGGGTACCCGACAGATGGCAACCATTCAGGTGTGGAGGCCCAGGTCTGGGGGAACGAAGAGGAAGTCCCCAGGAGTCGGGGAGGGGAGAGGGGCTTGCTGCAGGGAGCCGAGGAAGGTGAGGAAGGAGAAGGTGGAGGAGAATTCTGGGCCCGCACGGTGTGCATGAGCGGAGATGTGTGAAAGGAGGGGAAGAAACCAGCCTGGTCAGAACAAAGTGTTCTGGGTTAGGAGTGGGGGGTTAGCGAGGGGATGTAGAGCAGGAATCAGTTTATAAAGGTCTGGATTTAACCCAGGCCAGGCAGAGGTCAGTTGGAGGGAAGCATCAAACCCCACCTAAGAATAGGTCAGGGCTTGGGTGTGTGACCTGGGGCTCAGTCTGCTACCGGGATTTGGGATAAGTTTAGAAAAAGCATTAGTGTGTGCTAGAGAGCCAGAGGCAAGCTGCATGTGACTTCTCCTTTGAGATTTTCCCTTATTTTATCCTTGGGCTGATGGATCCGTAAGTCTTCACGATTCACCCATAAATCTCTCTGAAATGTCTTACCTTCACCTGTCCCCACTACCATCTCTCCCTTGGACCACGGCAGTAACTTTTAACTCCTGCCCCGTGTCCACCCCGCTTGGTATGGGGGCAGTTCTCTAAAACACAGCTCCAGATGTGCTGCTGCCTCTGCCCCATCACCAGCTAGGAAGTCACTGGCCCCTGGGATTCACACAGCACAGAGCAGACAGGGGGCAGGTCAGTCAGAAGAACTTTGGGGAATGTCCTGCCCCAGGCCGCAGTTGCCCCTTGGCGTCTCTGCAGAGCTGTAATACTTAAGGACAGGCTCCCCTGTTCCTCATTGTTCCTGAGGCTGAAGGGACTCTTCCTTCCTGTGTGGGAAAAGTCTGTGTTGTTGCCTATTCGACATCTCCTGTTCCTTGTCCTCCTGTCCCTAGGGCCCCACACCCCACCTATAATCCAGGGACAGTCTGAGCAATGTGTAGCCTTCTCTGCCAGGATGGGCGGGGCCATTCCTTATTTGGTTTAAGGCCTTGGAAATTAGGCTCACAAAGCTCTTACACCTCTGCTTACAAGTCCTCCCCCTCCCCCTATCCCCTGGGGCTAGAGCTGCTCTCCACAAGGTGACTCAGGGTCTCAGGCATAAACATACCTCATACAGAGTCAGGCATCCTGCTTCTGCCTCCAGCCATTCTCAACAGCTACAAGCCACCAACAGTGCTCCCAGTGAAATGTAGAAATGACAGATGTTCAGGGGAAACTTCATCCCCTTCCTGGCCAGCTGGCATCCTGTAACCGGGCTTTGGACAGTCCCTATGTCCCCTACCCATCTCCACAGTACCGACCACACTGGTGGACCCCCGTCTGTCCAACAAAGCCCACAGGGTCTGAGCCTGGCTCTGGGTGCCTGCTGGGGCTCCTGGAGGTGACGTCTTGTCCCTGTCCCTGTCCTCAGTACAAGCAGGTGGAGCAGTACATGTCCTTCCACAAGCTCCCGCCTGACACCCGGCAGCGCATCCACGACTACTACGAGCACCGCTACCAGGGCAAGATGTTTGACGAGGAGAGCATTCTGGGGGAACTGAGCGAGCCGCTGCGGGAGGTGAGCTGCTGGCAGCCTGGGTGGGGCAGGGGCCAAGGCTGGGCCTTGGGCAGCTGCCTTCACCTCCTTCTTCCTGTGTCCCCCTCTGTGCCACCTCGGAGCAGGAGATCATTAACTTTAACTGCCGGAAGCTGGTGGCTTCCATGCCGCTGTTTGCCAACGCAGACCCCAACTTTGTGACGTCCATGCTGACCAAGCTGCGCTTCGAGGTCTTCCAGCCAGGGGACTACATCATCCGGGAAGGCACCATCGGCAAGAAGATGTACTTCATCCAGCACGGCGTGGTCAGCGTGCTCACCAAGGGCAACAAGGAGACGAAGCTGGCTGACGGCTCCTATTTTGGAGGTGAGGTGACCAGGGGCTCTGGGAAGCCAGGGGGCCACTACCATGGGGAGAGGCTGGAGAGAACCCTGGTGGGTGAGGTCCTGGAGGGGGGTGTCTGTGAGCCCGGCACAGGGCGTCTCAGTCCAGTCCAGCTGCGGTAGCACAGCGCCGCAGGCTGGGGGCGTGTAAACCACAGAGACGCATCTCTCGTAGATCTGCAGGCTGGAGATCCGAGATCAGAGTGCCAGCATGGTCAGCTCCAGCAAGGGTCAGCTTGCGGGCCACAGATGGCCACCATCTCGCTGTGTTCGCCTGTGCCTGAGAGATGGTGTGCCATCTCTCTGGCCTCTTTTTGGGGCAGTGATCTCATTTTTAAGGGCTCCACTCTCATGACCAAATCGCCTCCCAAAGCATCTCCACATCGATCACGCTGAGATCAGGGCTTACACCCTGCAGTCCAGGGGACATGGGTGGTCAGCCCCTTGCAGACGGGTGGCCCCAGATGGGAAAGTGTCAGGTATCCTATTTGGTATCCAGGGTGGCTGCAGCCTAGGGATGGAGCTTGTGAGCCCGAGAGGGTTCTGTACTAAACTGGGGATCAAGGTCAAGGTGGGACAGCCCCACTGAGTCTCCTGTCCCTGCAGAGATCTGCCTGCTGACCCGGGGCCGGCGCACGGCCAGCGTGAGGGCCGACACTTACTGCCGCCTGTACTCGCTGAGTGTGGACAACTTCAATGAGGTGCTGGAGGAGTACCCCATGATGCGACGGGCCTTCGAGACTGTGGCACTGGACCGCCTGGACCGCATTGGTGAGGCCGGGTGGGTTTTCCACTGCATGAGCTTACCTGCTACCCCTTGGCCCCACGCCGGCCTGAGCCTGCTCTTTATTCTATAACCCAGGCAAGAAGAACTCCATCCTCCTCCACAAAGTCCAGCATGACCTTAACTCAGGAGTCTTCAATTACCAGGAGAATGAGATCATCCAGCAGATCGTGCAGCACGACCGAGAGATGGCCCACTGTGCACACCGCGTCCAAGCTGCCTCTGCCACCCCGACCCCCACACCTGTCATCTGGACCCCGCTGATTCAGGCACCGCTGCAGGCCGCTGCGGCCACCACGTCTGTGGCCATCGCCCTCACCCACCACCCTCGCCTGCCTGCTGCCATCTTCCGCCCTCCACCGGGACCCGGGCTAGGCAACCTTGGGGCCGGGCAGACACCCAGGCACCTGAAGCGGCTGCAGTCCCTGATCCCGTCCGCGCTGGGCTCAGCCTCACCCGCCAGCAGCCCGTCCCAGGCGGACACGCCATCCTCCTCGTCCTTCCACATCCAACAGCTGGCTGGATTCTCCGCACCTGCCGGACTGAGCCCCCTCCTGCCGTCCTCCAGCTCTTCCCCGCCACCCAGGGCCTGTGGCTCCCCGGTGGCCCCCACACCGTCCTCCGCTGCAGCTGCCACGGCCACGGCTGGTTTTAGCCACTTCCACAAGGCGCTGGGTGGCTCCCTGTCCTCCTCTGACTCCCCCCTGCTTACCCCACTGCAGCCAGGTGCCCGCTCCCCACAGGCTGCTCAGCCACCACCCCCGCTGCCAGGTGCCCGGGGAGGCCTGGGACTCCTGGAGCACTTCCTGCCACCCCCGCCCTCATCCAGGTCCCCATCGTCCAGCCCTGGGCAGCTGGGCCAGCCTCCCGGGGAGCTGTCCCCAGGGCTGGCCGCTGGCCCACCAAGTACACCAGAGACACCCCCGCAGCAGCCTGAGCAACCAACCTTCCTGGCGGGGGCCTCCGGAGGGGCTTCCCCAGTAGCCTTTACCCCCCGAGGGGGCCTCACCCCTCCTGGCCACAGCCCAGGCCCCCCAAGAACTTTCCCAAGTGCCCCACCCCGGGCCTCTGGCTCCCACGGCTCCTTGCTCCTGCCACCCGCATCTAGCCCCCCAGCACCCCAGGTCCCACAGCGCCGGGGCACGCCTCCCCTCACCCCTGGCCGCCTCACCCAGGACCTCAAGCTCATCTCAGCCTCTCAGCCAGCCCTCCCCCAGGACGGGGCGCAGACTCTCCGCAGAGCCTCCCCGCACTCCTCAGGGGAGAGTGTGGCCGCCTTTCCGCTTCTCCCCAGGGCCGGGGGTGGCAGCGGGGGCAGCGGGAGCAGCGGGGGCCTTGGTCCCCCCGGGAGGCCCCCTGGTGCCATCCCCAGCCAGCATGTCACTCTGCCTCGGAAGACATCCTCAGGTTCTCTGCCACCCCCTCTTTCTTTGTTTGGGGCAAGAGCCACCTCTTCTGGGGGGCCCCCTCTGACTGCTGTACCCCAGAGGGAACCTGGGGCCAGGTCTGAGCCAGTGCGTTCCAAACTGCCGTCCAACCTATGAGGGGGGCCCTCACTCCCTCCCCGCTCTTTTTTTTCTCCCTTCTTCTTTCAGGTTTAACTGTGATTAGGAGATATACCAATAACAATAATAATTATCATTAAAGAAAACCCCACACACACCCCAGAAAAAAAACAAAAGACAGCAGAAAATAACCAGGTATTCTTAGAGCTATAGATTTTTGGTCACTTGCTTTTATAGACTATTTTAATACTCAGCACTAGGGGGAGGCGGGAGGGAGGGGGAAGCAGGCAAGGCCCAGAGGCAGAAGCCAGAGGAGGCAGGAGGGGCTCGGGCGGGGTGGGTGGAGGTGACCCGTGTTTGGGGTTCCTAGAACAGACCTGTCGTTGTACTCGTTTTAGAGCAAAAGCTCTGATTGGTTCCTTGGCTGTGAACTTGGAGCCCTACTTTCATGGGGGGTCACCTTGTCCCCCAGGAAGGGATTGCCTTGGGCGTTTTGCTGGGGAGCCTCAGACTCTGGAGTCCTTGGGACAAGGGACAAACTCGGGCCAGGGCCCAGAGGGCCTTGTGTTTTTTTTCTACTGTAACCGTAGCAAGATATGTATATGAATATGTATATGTATATGTATGTAAGATGTGTATATGTATAGCTATGTAGCGCTCTGCAGATCCATGTAGATAGCAACTCACATGTGCACACATGCGTGTGCAGCCCAGTTTCACCCCGTCGCCAGGACACCCAGGTCACCTTACATCCAGCAATCGGCCGTGGCCCACAGGCTGGGCGCTGCAGGCCCTGGGGGACATCTCTCTCCAGTCCTCAGGGGAGAGGACCCCCAGGACCTCCAGCAGGCCCCTTTTCCCATCTCTGGGCTCAAGTCCAGCCCCAGCCCAACCTGTCACCACAATATGGAAGTGGAAGACTCCTGGCCGAGCCTCTCTTCCCAGGGTCCCAAGCACACTCCATCTCCTCTGTGGCCCTCGGTTTTCCAGCTGCATAGGAGGCAGCAAGGGGACTTGTATTTATTGAGTCTGCTCTGTGCCAAGCATTGGTTTTGCACTTTACACATTAACTCCTTCAGTTTCACAAAGACTGTGAGGTAGATACTTTGATTCTCCCCATTTCACAGATGAGGAAATTGAGTTGGGGTAATTTTCCCAGAATCACAGAAGTAGCAGTGGCAGAGCTGAGACTGATTTGGGCTTTGAATCCATCCTGCCTGACTGAGGCCAAGGCCTATGTACCGTCCATCAGAAAATTGTGTTTGATGGTCCCTAAGCATGATGTGGAGGGAAGAGACCCAAGTTTAGCAGCAGTTAGGCCTGGGTTCAAATTCCAGCCCTGCCTCTTCTTAGCTGTATGACCTTGGGAAAGTTTTCTGACCTGAGTCTCTTACCTCATTTGTAAAATGAGAATAATTATGCTACTGCCTCACAAAAATCTATGAGGACCAGAGAAGAAAAAGAATGTGAAATGCCCAGCCCAGCGCCTGGCACACAGCATAGTAGGTGCTCAATAAATCACATTTCTTCTGCCCTCTACATGTGCCCAGCCCATTACTCCCACAAGTTATGGTGAAAACCCAGGGAGCTTTGGATGAGGGCTCTAAGACTTAAAATCTCAGGACTCAGGAGGTGGCTGGGCCTCCTTAAGGGCCCAAGGAAGGTACGTGGCTGGGGGAGGGAGGGTTGGGGCCAGGCCTTGAGATGTGGAAGAGCTGGAGGGAGGAGGGAAGGAAGGAGGGAGGAGGGATGGGGTAGAGTGCACAGTAGGAGGTTGCTGGGGAGGACGTGGAGTTTAGAGCCAGCTTTGGGAGCAGATCTACAGGCTGGAGGGAGGAGGACGGGCCTTGGATACCACACCAAGCAGGTGAGTTGCGCTTGGTTCTGAAGGCGGGTTACCATGTAAAAGCAGCTCAGATGTCTCCTGGGGCTCAGTAGTCCTCCCCAGCAGGACCCTGGCAGAGCCAAGGTCAGGCAGAGGTGGTTCTGGCTGCAGGACTGAAATAATGCTGAGGGCTGGTCCTGCCTTGTCCATGCAGAGCGCTCATGCCCTGAGCCAGAGTGTTGGCCTGGTCAGGTTTGGTCCCGCACCGTGCTGCGATGTGAGGCAGGCTGGTCTCTCTGTTTGGCTGCGGAGGGCTGCAGGCAATAACCCAGGAGACAAGGGGTCTGTGGTCCTAGGGAAAGACTAGAAGCCAGCTGGTCCTAGTTCCTCCTGGACTAGAGAAGCCCTGCAGGCCCAGGGGTCCTTCAGACCTGCAAGGATTTAAACAGCTGCAACCTGAGTTCTCTGCCCCCTTTCCCCACCCCGAAGGGAGGCAGCTCACAGACAACAGTGGGACTGATTCAAACCAGTCCAGTCCTGAAGGTAGCAGAAGCGGAGATGGAGGGTCCAGGGGCATAAGGAGTAAGGAGCCCCTTGCCATCAGGGCCTGGCCTAGCCACCCTCTTCTCTACTTGCACGCATTTTATAAGAGCTCTGACCCAGCCGGGGCACTCTTTTGAGACTGTGGGGCGGCCAGGTCCAGCCAGTGGGCGCTCCTGTCCCCAGCCTCCCATGAGCAATTTTCAAATCTTCCACTTTTAAAACAGATAACGGTACATACACCGTATTGTATATTTTATTTAAATAAAAAAATTCCAGCAGATGCTGCTTTCTTCTAGGGGGGTGCGGTGGGGGATAATGTTAGTGGGAACCCCAGAGTCTCGGAAGCCTGAAAGTGGCGAGAGGCGGGATGCCTGGCCCCAGCACATGTGCACTCTGGTGTGCAGATGTGCACCCCAAGAGCTTGGAGTTGTGTTCTGGGCGCCAAGGTATGCGTAGGAGTGTGTGAGGCCTGGTGTGGACACAGGTGTGCACCTGCTTACAGGATGGTGGGGCCATTAAGGAGGGTGAGAGAAAGCGTGTCTTTCGCTCATGGGGCAGAAAGGAGAGGTCGGGGAGCTATGAGACCCTGACTCGGCACTCCTGCCACCACCCCCGTCCCCAGCCACCAAGGCTCTAGGGCCACCAGCTGCCAGAGGAGGAGGGCAGTAAAAACCTTTGAGCTCATCTGGCTATCCTAGTGCTCAGACCAGCAGCAGAGAAGGTAGCTGGGGACACAAGGTGGCTGGGTTGGGGCAGAGCCTCATGGGGGTAGCTGAGGACGGAGGAGGCCTGTGTGGGTTGGTAGCTTGAGCAGAAGTGGGAGCAAGCATCTCTCTGACTCCCCACTGTGGTGCTTGGGGGCGTTGCTGGGTCTGGTCCCCCAGGGTCCCTTTCTGCCACCCCTGGCTTCAGAGGGTCCCAGCAGGCCCTGGGAGGTTGCTGGGTGGGGCAATTGCCTGGGGCTGGGGAATGGAGTCCTTAGGCCTCTGGCAGTGTCAGGAGTGCCATCTCCCGCCCTCCTCCAAGGAAGGGAAAGTCCTCAGAAAAGGGCAGGGAACCCGCCAGCCGTTCCCCATCACTACTTGTCCAGGCTGTTTCCATGGTAACAGGCCTAGGAGTCCCGTTGCTAAGGTAGGCAGCTCAGCAGGCCCTGGCATCCCCATGACAACTGCCCCCTGTGGCCAGGCTGTGGTGTTTCCTTGGGGACCCCGCAGGCACTGTACAGTCGGAGACAGACGCCACTGCTCTGGGAGCTTGCTGGGGGCAGCCGGGGCTCAGACAGCAGTGGCCACCTCTGGGAAGCCTGTCTTCTGAGGCTCGGGAGGCTTTGTGGACAGTCATCCACTGTGACAAGCCTGGGGATGCCAGGGCATTAGCCGCCAGTCCTCGCCCACCTGCAAAGGTGTCTTATCTGGTACCTGATTCCAAAAGGACACTTTGGACGTGCTTACTGATGCTGGGCCCGGGGGCGTTCTTGTGACCTCATTTCATGCTCCCAGCAACCCTACTAGGGCAGAAGGAGCCCCCATAATAGTGAGCCAAGGTGAGACTCGGAGAGGGTAGGAAGGGAGCCCACACGGTCAGCTGGGATGGAAGGATCCAGCACAGGGTGGGCGGTGTCCCTGGAACAGACAACACAGGTGTGTCATCTGTTGAAAATGAAAATGACAACGAGAATGACCGCGTGTCTGTGTGCTTTCCCTTACTCCCGTACAGCAGCGATTCTAGACAATGTCAGGAACCGGCCCTCCTACCTGGCAGACAGCTCCCACCCTGCCCCCCTTGAAATGCCACCATCCCCGTGCTTCACCTCAAGGGACATTTGCTGTGTTTATGGCTGTCAGAATGATGGAGGCCTAGGGGCTGGGGATTTAGCTCAGTGGCACAGCGCCTGCCTGGCAAGTGCAAGGTCGTGAGTTTGATTCCCGGTACTGGAAAAAAAAAAAGAATGATGGAGGCCTGAGGCTCCCCTTCTGCCTCTGTAGGACAAAACCAGCTTGGGAAGTTTCAAAGACACTTCAGAAAGTTTAGTAAATTTCTTCCTTGACTCCACATCTCACCCCAGCTGCTAACACTTGCTCTGCTCCACCTAACTCTGGATAGTTTGGCTGACTCCCTGCTGGTACCCCTCAACGAGCCCCCAGGGAAGTCACTTCCCCTCTTTCCCCTGGGATGGCTCTGGGCAAAGTCCTCATGGCCCAGGTGGCAGAATCTGGTGGCTGCTGTTCTGTCTACAGTGTGACCCAGCTGGCCAGGCCCTCCCAGCTTTGGAGTCCCCGCTACCTCCTTGCTGCCTCGCCTTTCTGCCCAGCCTCAGTTTTAAGGGCTCGTCTTTCTTCCAGGAGGTCGGTGCTCCTTGGTCTCTGGCTGTGTCCCTATCTTGTCACTGTACCATGCTCCCAGGCGCGACTTCCCCCTTGTCCCTGACTTCCCCCACACCCCTTGGGCTTTGGCTTGGCCCGCTGCCCACGGAGCCCTCATCCTCCGTGATGGAACACGGCCCCCACGTGCTCTTGAGTCTGCAGTTCCCACCGCGGTGCGTGTCCTCTAGCCTGCTGCTCTGGTTGACTTTGCTTCTTCCATGTCCCTTCCCTGGAGGGTGGAGTATGTCACACATGCAGGTGAAGATGGATTACATAAATAAGATATCAAAATAAGATAAACAGCCAGTCACTCCGTTTAAGAAATGGGAGCATCTGCACCATTACCCAACTGTATCCCTCTTGCTCCAAAGAAAACCACTCATCTGAGTTCTAATCACTCCCTAACTTTTCACACTACTTTTACTACAGACAACAGATTGTCTCTAAACAATCCATTTAGCTGCATGCCAAGGTGGAGGAGAGAGGACTGGATGTACATTACTTGCCTTTGTGACTGGATGATTCAGTCAATGACATTGTTCAGAACTGCTGATGCGCTGGGCATGGTGGTGCACGTCTGTAATCTTAGCTCTTGGGAGGCTGAGGCAGGAGGATTGCTGCGAGTTCGAGGTCAGCCTGGGCTACAAAGTGAGTTTAAGCCCAGCCTGAATTATACAGCAAAAGCCTGTCTCAAAAAAAAAAAAAAAAAAAAAAAAAAAAAAAAATTGCTGATGCTTGGGGATAATAAAAATCAGCTTGAGTTTTAGTTGGTGTTATTACGGTTTTAAATTTCTCCACAAATAGTGCATTTCTTTCTTGTCTGTACTTGAGGTGAGTCACGCCCCCTCCCTCTTGGTACACCACTGACATAGTTGTCATTTTCAAACTTTACAAATGGTATCATGGTGCATGTATTCATTTTTTTTCATGCAGTATTATAATTTTGAGATCCTGTTGATGCATAGAAAGTAGTTAATTCATATTAGCTGCTCTCTAGCATTTTGGTTTATGAATATTCCACCACTTACACATGTATTCTTCTGGAGATGAGTGTTTTGGTCAGTTCTAGTTCTCACAGTGACAAACACTGCTGCTTCAAGCATTCTTGTTCAGGGCTCCTGCTGAAGGTGTGTAAGAAGGTCTCTCAGCTCTCTGCCTAGGAGCGGAATGACTGAGGGAAAATTAATCTTCCCTTTACAAGATAATGCCAAGCTGTTTAAAGTAGGTCTCACAATCTACACTCCCACCTGCAGCGTATGAGAGTTCCTTTTACTCCACATTCTCGCCAGTAATTGGAATCATCAGACTTTCTTTTTTCTCCCAGACTAATTGTGTTTTAATGTGCAAATCCCTCATTACTAGTAAGATTGAATCTTTGTTCATATATTTATTTGCCATTTGTGTTTCCTCTTCTGAGAAATACTAAGTTTGTTTTGTCCAATTTTCTATTGTTCTCTTTATTGACTTTTAGGAATTTTACACACGCATAATGTATGTGGGAAACAAAACTCCTTTATCTGCTCTGTGTTGCAAATATCTTTGTGTTTACGGTCTGTATTCTCTCTCTCTCTCCGTGTATGTGTGTGTGTGTGTGTGTGTGTGTGTGTGTGAACAGAAGCTTTACATTTTAACAAGGTCATATATGGAGATATATTTCTTTTTGTTTGTTTGTTTGTTTTTGTTTTTCTTCTGGTACCAGGAATTGAACTCAAGACCTTGCGCTTGCCAGGCAGGTGCTTTGCCACTGAGCTAAATCCCCAGCCCCTTATGGAGATATATTTCAATTCTAGGACTTCCTTAGTGCCTTTTTTGCTAAGAAACCTGTCATATTCTGATATTATACTGCTCTATGTCACACGTTTCTAGAAGTAGAAAGCCTTGTTTTTCACGTTTAAGTCCTTAATCTACCTGACTTGCCCTTGGTGTGGTCTGAAGGCATAATTTCCTTTCATCCCACATGAACAACCATTTATTCTTACATCATGTATCTCTTGAGCCTTAGCTAATCTGCAGTGTAGTCTCACTTTTCTTACATATTGTACCTGGCTTGTGTTGAGCTTCTAGTCCATACTGTCAGCTAATGTTTTTAAATCCTTGTCCAAATACTCTACTGTCTTAGTTGCTTCAGCTTTATAAAGTATGTTGATGTCTAGTAGAGAAGGTCTCCCACCTTCTTCTTAAGAAATGTCTTGGCGGGGCTGGGGATTTAGCTCAGTGGCAAAGCGCCTGCCTGGCAAGCACAAGGTCATGAGTTCAGTTCCCGGAACCAAAGAAAAAAAAAAAAAAGAAATGTCTTGGCTATGTTACTCTCTTTGTGCTACCATAGACATTTTAGAATCAGTTTGCTGAGATACGTGAATTCCAGTGGACTTCTGAGAGGATTACATTATCATGTTGGGAATCTGTATTCCTGTAGTATATAACTCTCCCCACATTTGGGTATTCCTTTTTGTATTGGAGTAATTAGCACGGACTGCTCCAACAGAAAATGCCCCAGATTTCAATGATTTACCACAATAAAGGTTTATTCCAGTTCAGGTATAGTCCT